GGACGTGTTGAGATGGTTTGAGATCCAGAATCCGAACCAGTCCGCGTTTGGCCCAAAGGATTATTAGGTTGGGTCTGAGTTGCAGATCCGTTCCCTTCCCCTTCGCGAAAAGCCCAATTAGGCTTTTGAGATTTTGTCCAAGAACCATGACCCGGTTTGTAACGTGCTTCAGAACCCTGTCCAGAAGCCACTGCAAATTCACTTTCAACATCACGAGCCAATTGCATTGCTAGGTAACGGTTGCGAGGCTTGAAGGTACGCACACGAGAACGAATATCATGACGTAAACCACCAATGAAATAACCTAGAAATTGTTGTTCTGGTAAACGACCACACTGTGAAGAATACAGTTCGAATTCAGCAATATATTCCTCTACTGATCCCGATTGTTTTAGTTCCTTTAATTCCTCAAACGGATTCTCCAAACGCCCACCTCCAAATCGAACCATCATCGCCTCACGGAGGTTCTCCCATGACACTTCCTCTGTTGAATCATGCCATAGGTTAAACCAATGGATAGTAGGGCCTTCCATACTCAATTTGGTCAACTGAATACGAACATCCTGCGAAATTCGTTGTACCTCAAAGTATGTCTCTGCCCGAGTGATCCATGCAACCGGATCGTCACCGGTAAATGCCGGCAACTCCACCTTCTTCGCAGATAAACGAAACTCATCCAGCGGTGAGGCAACTGTCGCACTGCTTGGCTGTGGCACTGCACGATGAGCCATTGCACGTTGAATCTCAGCACCAATGAACTCTCGTAACGCAGCAATGCTAGCCTCAACACCTTCCAACCTTTCTTCCACTGCAGAAACACGGTCAGCCATCTTAGGAGCTTTGGGCATGAACAATGGTAGGTCGGACCAATTGATAGAACAGAGGTATATAATAAAGAAAAGTATTTTATTAATTAATATGAAAGTAAAATAAATTCCAGAGCTATTGCTCCTCAGTCAGAGAAACTATTCTCTCACTGCCCAAACCCTAAGGTCAAAAACAGAAAATCAATCAATGCCTAACTACTGCCCCATACACTCCTCTTTATATGGAGAATAATCCCTAAACTAACTCCTATTTATATGGAGAATAATACCTAAACTAACTCCTATTTATTTGTGGAGTTTCCTATTCTTTCTCACATATACCCTCCATTGTTTAGGTCCAATAATATCTCTATTAACTAACACATTCCCATCATCATTTGTGGGATCCGATCCATTCCTATCAGTTGGTGTTGCGTCAAGCGGTGTCACTCCACTGTGAATAACATCTAGAACACCCTGATACCTAAAGACAACCTTCATTTGCACTGTCCATCTTCATAATTGCTGCCGTCAAAGATTGGAAGTTTCGCATGAATTTGATCACTGATTTTTGAAGTTTCTGCCATGTTTGCCGTCGGGCGTGGCTGTGGATCGTCTTGCTCTGATACCAATTTGTTGGAATGAAAATTTACTATTCTATTGATTCACTATTGTTGTTATGCAAATGAGAGGGAATGAAAGTAACAGAATTTTCAGATAAACAATCATGCAGAGAGAGAATGAATGAATTTCTGTTCCATTCCATTTTTTAATTGACTTATTACAATGCGTATTTATAACACCTAGACAAAATTAAACTAATAGTAATGCGTGAATTTACCATTGTCTAATTACAGTTAAATGAATTTTAACCGTCCACTAATAATAATTGTTAATAATACACAAGTTTTAATTACCTCACAATACATATCATATGCTATGTTCTATGTTCTTTAGAGCAAGGACACGGGCTGATATGAAAACAGTTCCACACCGAGGAAACATGTTCATCATGTATTTGTTTTTTTTTAACTCACTGGAAAATAAAATTAGGATTGAACTCGTACATGGCTAATTAGGTTCTGGTTTCTAAATACTAAGGTATTATTGAAACAGAACACATATCATGATATTGTAAATCTTGAAGCCATGAATGTGTTAGGAAGGTGTCTAGATATGCACCATCAATGAAGCATAGATACGATACGAGTATCGGATACGATACATATCCGATACGGCGATACGTCATTAATTAAAAAATATAGATACGATACGTTTAAGATATGTATGTTAAAATTATAATTAAATATTTAATTAAATTGTAAGTAAGTAGACCGGCTTCTTAATTTAGTTCATAAGGTAGGGATAAAATGAAAGAAACGTGGCAAGGAAAGTATTATTCTGAATAAAAATATTTTATTATAAATAATATTAATATGTAATAATTAATATGAATGAAATTTTAAATATTAGTAATGATAAGAAGTTTGGAAAATCAAACCAATTTTCAAAAATGGTTATTATAGGTAAAGAATTAATTAGGATATTAAAGACAATGACTAGAAAGGAAGGGTCGTTTAAAAAGGGGTCATTTAAAAATGGGAGTAAAGGGTCATTAAAATGAAAATCTGATAAAAAAATAAAATCACGTATCCGTGGAGTATCGGAGGTGTATCGCCGCCGTATTGAAATTTTTTAATTTATTTTTTAAATAAAATAAATTCGGATACTCCTTCGATATGTATCGGATCCGTTTCGGCAAAGTTTTTGACGTATTTCATTGTGCATCATGATTCCTTTTTTAAAATTTTCAATTATGTGTGTGCACTCTAATGAAATCAAAATCTGTGTACCACTCAACTGAGTGTCAAATTAATCAAATAAACAAAAGACAGAAACCAAATTACTTTTCAGATCTTGTGCTTCTGGGACATCTGTAACAGTTGCGACGGGGATATTGATCTGAGGAGTTTGGCCTGCTGGTTCTGTACTTGGTTGCAGCACTCTGTTAGTGGGAAGTGTGTTACCAACATTAGGGCTTTGAACAGGTGAACCTGCAGGTCCAACAGAAATAAACATGAAGCTTTTGTAAAGAATAAAATTTGGAATATAGTGTCACAAAAGATTCTTTTAGGGGTTCAATTATGTTACATGTGTGCCTAAAAGAAGATCAAATGTCACTACATTTGGTTACTGAGTAAGGAACACAGCACAATTCAAGTGAGTTCTTACCTCCTTTAATGTATTTGAAAGTATTAACCAAACTAATAGTATAATGGCACCCAATATGCAGTTAATATCATTTCCATGCAAAGAGAAAGTTGTCAAACTACAACTGCATACTACTTAGACTCCGCGAAATTTAACTAAGTTGAGGTGGAGGGAGGGGCGGATTATTTTAAATTTGAGTTTTTTAGTTCAATTTTTAAAGGGCATGGGTTGGGAGCAAAATATTTCCTGAGTCAATTTTAGCTCACCTCCAATATTAGGGAGTTTAGAGGACAAAGAAGATGTGTTTATTAACTTCTGTTTTTCACTTTTTTAGTACAAATGTCTGAAAGCAAAACCAGCAAAAAAAAAGCAATATTCAGAAATTAAGCAAGTCCTTATAATTCTAAGCACTACTGTCCTTCATAAAATTTAAATAAAACCTCAACAAATGCGGCAATTGATAACATAGTGTTATAATTCATTAATTACAATTTTTCATCCAATGCATTAATTAAAACAGAACGAGAAGGGAAAATGCTGAAACATCAACATGTGCCAAAACAACAAGGATTTTAAGGTTTTCCAAGACTGCGAAGGTCAATTTGCCAGAATATCACAGATTGCAAAATTTAAAACATTAACCGCCATTTTCACTTTTAAAAAGAGAAAGCATGCCAAACATAAGTATTTTATCTGGTCCAATTTAAGTATTTTATCCATGAACATTCTGACCTGTTTAATCATGAGAAGTAAAAAGTAACAATTTAATTCTTAAAAATGTCAAATGCAGATCAAATTAGTCTCTAAGAGAAGTAAAACATCACTAAAAAGAGCACATGTAATTCTTAAGAACTAAATTAGGAGCTCTCATTTGTTCAGAAATCAAATGTCTCTTGTGTCCCTGAATATTATCAGGACAAATTTGAGTATTTACTCGATGAATTAAAACAATCTTTATGTCGTGACAGTGTAAAAAAACTACTTGAGCATCTAATTAAATCATACTATGATGTTACTTTATTATATTATATCATAAAATATCTTAATTCTCTACAAACATCTCCTGATAAGATATAGTTTGATGCAAATGTAGAAAACTTAATGTATACAATTAAATCCTTAAATGAGTGAGGAAAGCGAAAACGCAGAAACAACAACGGCATGTGTCGAAACAACAACGGCATGTGTCGAAACAACAACAGCAAAACATGCAGAGATGTAACCTAGATAAAATGAAGAACTTGTAGAAGCGGAAACACTGGGTTGAGGAAAAGAAGAGAGATTATGAAGAAAAGGATAATAAATAGGGTTTTGTTGAGAGAATGATTAAACGCAGACATATTGCTTTGGGATAAATTGACGGTCCGTGAAGGTGACGAAGAATTAAAAGGGATGGAATTGACAGTAACGGAAACGGGGTTGTAAGTGGTCCTTCTTTTGTCACATGAAATGTTATCAGAGTTTAATTTAATATATAAATTAGTTTTTTTTTTTTCCTTAAAATCCATCTTCTCCCCCTCAATCATGATATTTCATTAGTTTTCCGAATGCGATTGAGGCCATTCAGTCAATTTCCCGCAACTATCAAGGATTGCAAGATTTAAAATTTTGACCGTTGTTTTCACTTTTAATAACAAAAGTGTCGGGACAATTTTAAAAACGTTGAAACTAAACAGCAAATGATGTACTTAAAAGAGAAAGCACGACAAAACATACCAATATATAATTTATAATTCTTCTTATAACATGCAAGCACCATTCTTTTTCAAAAACAAACAAAAAAAAAACTTGTAAGCACCATTTCCCTCATTAAAATCGAAATAAACCCTCAAAACAGACACAGCAAATAATTTAGATAATCAACATGAACAACCACAATTCAATAATCACAATTTATGTTCAAAATCCAAATGCATTTTGTTAGAGTAAATATCCAAGTAGATCCCAACAAAAAACACTAAACCCTACTTGATCATAGTGTTATCAAATGTCGGCCATGGCGACGCTTTGGCGGTTTTTGGGTTTGCCACAATGGGCAAATATTAGCCGATACTGCCGGGTTTTCCGCCATGAACCGTCATCTGCCATAGACAACACAGCTTGATCATGAGAAATGAAAATCACCAATTTGATCATTAAAAATGACAGATGTATGTCAAATAAGTCTATAATAGAACTAAAATCCCACTAAAAAGGAAACGTTGACACTCTTAAAGGCCAAATTAGTACTTTTTCCTTTTTCAAAGATCAAATACGTTCCCGCGTATTTTATCGCGGCCATTTTGGGGAAATTTCTCCATACACGCTGAAACCTATTTAATCATCACAAATAAAAAGTAACAATTTGATCCTTAAAATGTCAAATACATGTCAAATTAGTCTCTAATAAAACTAATATCACCAAAAGTTATACTAAAAGCAACACATTTGACATTCTTAAGAACTAAATCCGTACTTCACATTTTTCAGATATCACACATGTCTCATATGTCTCCGTGTATATTTACTCGATGAATGAAAACAATCTTTATACAGCGACAGCGTAAAACTTTTGGGGAGGGATTGTCTACCTTTCAATCCTCTACCTTTGGTGACTTTCCATCTATCTCTCTATAAAATGTCATTCTCTCTCATATAAACAAAAAAAAAATAGGTTCCCTCCACCAAAGGTAATCCTATTCGGACACTAAAATGTCCTTCTCTCTCATATAACCAAAAATGGTTCTCAACTACATCATATAAAATGCAGGTCATAACAAACTTGCGTAAAAAGCAGAAATAAAATATCAAAATGAGAAATAAAATTCCTTAATCAACTAGTGATTCTTCTTAGAGTTCCTCTTTGTTTCACACTCATAGTTTTGCATCCAAAAAGGATTATTGGACTCTCTTCCCCTCTATTGGGCCTTCCACAGCCACAACATTTCTTCAATCGGCCCTTCTTGCTATATTCTTGGGCTATTATCATTTATCAGCTTGTGCCTTATAAGATTTGAACCCTAACCCAGCCCTAGTTTGAATCCATTTCCTAGATACACTAAACTCACATAACTTATCAAATTTCAAAGCAAAAAAAAAAAAATCCATTTCCATAACTTCTATATTCATACTTCTAATCAAATCAAATCACAACATAAAGCCACTTTGTTACGCAATTAGATCTTAAAATACCTACTAACAACAAAAATCAGTGTATACAAATCAAATCCTTAAAACAACTACAAAATCTCATCAAATACCATTTCATATCTACTAATAACACACAATGTGATACATTTGCAACAAAAAAAAACGACAATACACAAATCGAAAACGCACCTTGCGAAACTGCTGCATTGAGAGAACCGGAGAAGCTAGGTTGAGGAAAAGCAGCTAGATTAGGAAGAAAAGGCGAAGAAACAGGATTTTGCTCAGAAAAATGATTAAACGCCAGAAAAGCAGCGTCGTTTTGGGACAACTTAAGGGTTCGCGAGGGTGTTGATGAAGTAAACGGGACGGAATTGACGGTAACAGTAGTGGTGAAAAGAGGATCGTGCGGTGGTCCGGCTCTTGTGGTGTCGTAAACCGGTAACCGCCATGATTTCTTCTGGCATAGCTCTTGAAGCTTGTTCTTGTACATTGCTGAAGAAGAAGTTGAAATACTGTAATTGTTGTGTGTAGGTTTTTTTTTTCTTAGTTCGTTTTGAATCCAAATGATGGGTTTTATTATGTCCGATTATTGATTTAGTGTGAATTGATGATGGAATGTAAAGAGTGAGATACTATACTATTATGATTTTTTTATTATTAAGTGTTTCACCATATTAGAAATTTTATAGAGTAAAAAAAGTTTAATGTATTTATTTACTTTATAAGAGTTATTTATTTATTTTTGTTTTTACTTTTATTTATTGAAATAGGATTTGGACTTATTTTAGGAAATGATGTATGATTATCGTAGAAGAGATTGTTATTTTTAGGAGTGTAATCGATTTGGTTTGGATTGATTTTTGGTTAATAAAAAGCTCAAATCGATGATATTTTTATCAGTTTAGTTTATTCGACTTTTAACATTTTTTAAAAATTGAACTGAACCAAATTAACTGGTTTGATTTAGTTTGTTTGATTCAGTTTATCGATTTTCATTGGTTCTATTTTGTTTTAGAACCGAACCAAAAACAATCAATTTTATTTCGATTTGATTTAGTTTAGATTGTTGGTTTAATTAATCTTTTTTATCCGCTTGCACCCTTAATTATCATCTTATTTAAGTGGTCTAGAGTACTTGATTTAACTTTTTCAACAATACTATACAATACTTAATGATATTTTTAAACAATAATATTTTAATTCTTTCTAATAATTAATTTTAAACCGTCTATTATAACTGTCATAAATTATTATTAAGCGATATCCCCACATATTATATTTATGCAACTATGCACATTCATATTATATTTATGCAACTATGCACATTTTGTTTCAATGGTAACATATTATGCAACTATTATATATTACTTATTTTCTTTTCTCTTTTTCCCTTCAAAACTACTTGGAGGTTACACAAATAAAAATTAATTATTCTCTCCCATTTATATTTGAATATTATACATAACTGAAAGTAATTAGTTATTTGAAAAGAAAACTGACTTTAATTTTCAATTAAAAACTATATTTAAATAGACATATCACAAAATCAAATACACATAATTTTAATTAAAATCAAATTTAAAAAAAAAACACCATATATATTTTCATGCATATGTTTAATGAAAAAAACGGACAGACGGGCACATGAGTGCTCGTTTGTACACTAGAGATGAGTTTGAACTTGTCATATTGAAGGTGAGAAAAATACACAAGAATGAAGGTTGAATTGTATATGCCAAAAATTGTTTCGCTTCTAAACAGTTAAGTAATAATCTGAACAACGTTTAGAGTCTGATATCAAAAACAGTAACATATGCAGAAATAATAATGATGAGAAGTAAAAGCAAGTAACAAACAAAGTCTATCATGTTTCTTCTTCTTAAATGAGAGCAGTCTGGTCCTCTTTCATATACAAGAGCTTTTCATTCTAACCAAACAGATTACACTTTGCTCAAGCACACTTGCAGGAGACTTCAATGTCCAATCAACCTAGAAAGAGACCTATGCTCAAGCAACCTTGCAAGAGACTTCTGCTCAATCAACCTAGAAAGAGACTTCACTACTCAAGTACACATACAAGAGACTTCACTGCTCTAGCACGCAGGTAAGAGACTTCATCTGCTTTAAACAAACAGTTTAGTAGAAAAGATAAATAATATACTTATATACACAATAAGAAGTATAACAGTTGTGCAACAACCACAAAGGTTCTTAACCTCTTAAGATTTCTAAGATATACAAAGATAAGAAATTTTAAGATCTTATGCAATAACAATTACAAATAAAAGCTCAGGGTTATGCTCAAGATATTATATTGCGTTGTAGCATTGTAACTTTCCTTTAAATCTTCAGCTTTCTTTTATAGAGATGGAGAAATTGTCGTTGGAGGGTTTGAGCATAAGATCTAACTTAGTGAAGAAGCATGCTAAGAGAGATATTGGAGGATGTATCTAGTTAGTAGCATTGTCCACTGAATAATGACTTTGTTCACAACACCTTTCGAAGAACTAGGTATCTACCAAAAGGTAGAACAGACTAAAGAGGTCACATCACCATTTCTTTAGCCTTGTAAAATGAAATCTTAGTTGACTCTTTTTAGAAATCCAGCGCTTTGACAAGACTGATATGTTTTTCATACAAGGTGGATCATAGGTATCGCTACTGCGAAAAGGAGGTGTCGGCACAACAGAAGAGTCGCCACCTATCGTTATTTATCCCACAGGAGGGAAAAGAAACGATCAGGAAAAACCTAGCGAAACGGAATAAGATCGGTCATCGCAACCAAATCTCGTACTCGATAGGATCCATGCTTGTCTGTTTATCTGACGGGTCGTTTATCTATCTACCTATCAAGGTTGGCTTGAAAGAAAAGAAAATGGAAGAAAAGGGGACTCGACAGAGCGTCGCTGCTCTGGGCCTACGTATTCCCTCGTGCAATAGAAAAGTCAGAGTCAACGTAGTTCGGCTAACTACGGGTGAAGGGAAGGTTGCTTGCCAAGACATCGCATCTTGTGCCTACGTACTCTCAACAGGTATGAGAGATCAGAGCGAACGTAGTTCGGGATAAAACGAAACACAGGTTTGTTCACCAGATTTTTACCCGAGTAAAGTTAAACTACAGTTCCAGCAGTTAGGGACAATGCCTATTTGCGGTAGAACTGAGGCTTAACAACACTCTTTTCTTCAGAAAAGATTTTCCTTGAGTTAAGGCCCCAAAGGGCAAAAAGGATTTGAATGTTTGTTTTTTGTCTTTTACGAGAAGAAGTGTTTTTTTTATAATTCATACTGCACTAGAGACTATGACTTAGGAGTGAATGCGTCGCATGTCACCCTAAGGGTGCCATACTAAACATCCTGATTGTTGAAGAGTGACCCTTCAACAATCATTTCCTAAGTAGCTTAAGGCTCGTAACGTACAATATTCATTAGCTTTTATTAAGTGTTTTGATTTTGTATGAAGATGAGAAGAGAAGAGGAGGCCTCTACAGGGGAAACTAAAATCCTACTGTTATCATGTAATATGGTCCTAGGGTTGAGTTTGAAACAGGGAACTCCTAAATGTTATCATGCATGGTTTCGAACTAAAGTCTATCATCACTATCCTTGAACAAGGAAGTGAGACTCCTAAGGGAGCATATCAAAAGGGAAAAAGAAAACAATGTTGAAATCATAAAGCAGATGAAATATGAAAGTAAACAGATGCATATGCAATGCAGCAATACAAGCAAAGGGAGGCAACCTCAACCTTTCAATGCAAGCATGCAAAGAGAAAAGAAACACTCAAGCAAAGGGAGGCAACCTCAACCTTTCCAAGAGAAGAGAAACAAGCAAGCAAAGGGAGGCAACCTCAACCTTTCGATGCAAACAAAAAAGATACAATCAAGCAAAGGGAGGCAACCTCAACCTTTCAATGCAAACCTTAATCTTAAACATGAGTATCTATACATGCGAATCTATCCTAAATGCATCACATCAAACAATTAAACATTCACGAAGAAAAGAGGGAAACAAGATGAGCAAACAAAGGAAGAATCCCAAGGCTACATCAAGTTTAGATGTGTATACACAAGAGTCCTCTAAGGCTCATCCTCTTGAGGAATGCACAGAATACTTCCTAAGGAAGACCAGGCTCTCACAAGAGGGATCCTAAGAATGTAGGACAGATAGCTGAGGAATGAGAAGTACAGTGTGAACCTAAGGAACCCACTGTAGTCAATGTGAATTAACACAAGAATCCACTCAAAGGTTCAACCTCTTGAGGAATGCACAGAGTACTTCCTAAGGAAGACCATACTCTCACAAGAGAGATCCTAAGATAACAAGATAGATCAATGAGGTGGATCCTAGATGAAAATCTAAGGTATTGTTAAGGTATGTCAGCAGGAGTCCTCAAAGGCTCAACCTCTTGAGGAGTGCACAAAGTACTTCCTAAGGAATACCAGGCTCTCACAAGAGGGATCCTTTGTCAATAGGACAATGGATGATTTATTAATGAGGGGAAGCATGGTGAAAACCTAAGGAAGTCACCATGGCACTCAACCAGATTCACTTGATTAAGAGTAGTCCTTAATGGCTCACCTCTTGAGGAATGCATAGAGCACTTCCTAAGGAAGGCCAGGCTCTCACAAGAGGGATCTCATGATAAGGACTAAGAGATATTGGCATGATTTGAATGGCCCAAGTGTTGCACCCCAAATTTGTCTTACCTTTACATAGTTTCTAGTGCCACTTTATTTCGAATGAATAAAATGGCACAATTGGCAAGAGACCGTGTGTAAGTAGTTGTGAGTGTGAGAGGTCGAGAGTTCGAATCTCATCTTCTTCACTTTTTTTTTCTTTTTTTTTTATTCTAAGTTTTCTATTTTCATAAAAAAAAATAACAAAAATAGTTTTTTTTATTATTTAATTATTGTTTTCGTATTTTATTTATATTATTTTTTAAAAAATATTATTTTTTCACTTTTTTTCATATTATTCATAAAAACATCCAAAAATTATAAAATTAAAAATATTAGAAAAGATTTTATTATTTTTATAATATTTTTAATGTTTAGTAAATAAATAGGGTTTTAAGTTTGTTTTAATTTGTTTTAGTTTTGACTAATTCTTTAAGTTGGGCTTTAAAGTGGGCATTAGGTTAGAGTTAACCCTAATTTGTTACCTATATTAACATGAGTTGCATTTGAGAAAAAGGGGAGAGCACACAAAAGGAAAAACGACGGCCGTTCTCACGACTTATCAGAAGAGGAAAGCGTCAGCAAATCCACCAAACGGCGCAAAACCACCGCGAACCGCTTCGAACCCCGAATGAGGTGAGCAGTTCTTTTTGTCAATAACAAAGTTTTTCTATTGTTTTCAGGTGGAACAAACCTAAGAAGAAGGAGAGAAATTGTTTCCGACCATGCAAGAATGGAGCAAAGCTCAAAGGAGCTGCAACGCCGCCGCCACCGTGATGAAGAAGAAGATGGGGTTTCTAAAAACCTAAAGATT